CCCTTGAGGAATAGACTAGGACCAGAGGGTCATACATTTAAGACAGAGATGAGGAGGAATTTCTTTCTCTGGGTTGGGGGGGGGGTAGTTGAATCTGTGGAATTCTTTACCTCTGTTGAGGCTAGTTCATTAAGTCTGTAAGCTAGACAGATTTTCAAACAATAAAGGAATCAACGTTATGAGGAAAAGGCAGGAAAGTGGAGTTGAGGATTATCAGATCAGCCATGGTCTCATTGAATGGCAGGGGAGACTCGATGGGCTGAATGGCCTACTTTTGATCCTATGTCTTATGCTCTTATGGACTTCTAAAGCTTACTTTGTGGAGTACAATTGAAATTGTAACATAATGTGCATCAGAAAACAATTAAAACAATGTCCCATCAATAGCCAAGACCAGATAATGTTCATTGAGGGAGGAACATTGGTCAGAACACTAGGAAGAACTCTTCCCTCTATTTTACTCCATTTCAAAGTTGATAGGGCTTGAGTGAGTTTGCATGTTGAAATTGGATTTGGGATTGCCTAAAAGGTAGCAAGCAACAAGTTATTTTAAGATGGAATTTGTCAGGGTGCACGTTTTAAGTGGGAGTCCCCTAGGGGTCAGTGTTATTGTTTCACAGTCACATCGCTCAGTACTGCACTGGAGTGCGAACCAAGATCCAATACCCTCGAGTAGAACTTAAAACTGTGGGATTCGGATGAGACTTGTTTTTTCTACGCACTCGTGGGATCTGAGCATCACTAGCTGAACCAGCATTTATTGCATATTGCTAGGTGTCCCGGAGAAGGTGATGTTGTGCTGACTTCTTGACCTGCTGCAGAGCTGATTAAGGACCCCTGCAATGCCGTTAGGGAGACAGTCCCAGGATTTTGACCCAGTGACACTGAAGGAATGGCGATATATTTCCTAGTCAGGATGGTGAGTGGCTTGGTGGGGAACTTTCAGGAGTGGTGTTCCCATGTATCTGCTGCCTTTGTCCTTCTCAAAAGCAGTGGTTGTGCTGTCTAAGGAGCCTTGATAAATTTCTGCAGTCATCTTATCAATGGTCCACATGTCTGCTATAGAGCATCGATCGTAGAGGAAGTGGGTCCTTGTGGATGTGGTGCCAGTCAAACAGGCTGCTTTGTCCTGGATGGTGTCAAACTTCTTGAGTGTTGTTGAAGCCGCACTCATTCACGCAAGTGTGGAGTGTTCTATCACATTCTTGACTTGTTCTTGTAGATGGTGAACAGGCTTTGGGGAGTCAGGAGACGAGTTAATTGCTGCAGGATTCCTTATCGCTGACCTACTCCTGCAGACACTGTATTTATATGATGCATCTAATTCAGCTTCTGGTTAATGGTTACCCCAGGAGGTTGATAATTGGGGATTCAGTAATGCCAGTACCTTTGAAATTGTCTAGTTAAACAGTAGTTAAATTCTCTTTTGCTGGAGATGGTCATCGACTGACTTTTGTATGGTGCAAATTTCACTTGCCAGTTGTCAGCCCAAGCCTGGATATTAAAACCAAAAGAACTGCGGATGCTGTAAATCAGGAACAAAAACAAAGTTGCTGGAAAAGCTCAGCAGGTCTGGCAGCATCTGTGGAGGAGAAAACAGAGTTAACGTTTCGGGTCCGGAGACCCTTCCTCTGACCAGAGGTTCAAGCCTGGATATTGTCTAGATCTTGTTGCATTTGGACACAGACTGCTTCAGTGTCTGAGGAGTCCTGAATGGTGCTGAGTATTGTGCAAACGTTGATGAACATCCTCACTTCTGACCTCATGATGGAGGGAAGGTCATTGAAGGAGTTGAAGATGGTTGGGCCTAGGACACTACTCTCATGAACTCCTGCAGAGATGTGCTGGAGCTGAGACCAGTAACTGCCAGCAACCACAGCCATCTTCCTATGTGCCAGGTATATTAACTGAGCTAAACTGATAAGATGTATTACACACACTGCACTGTCCAGGTCAGTGTTGTCCAATATGTTTGCCGTTCACCACAGACATATAATGAATTTTTCTTTATTCGGTGAGATTTTAAACCGATGGACATTAGGACCCTGTGGCAGCCTGTCTAACTGAGGACACAGTTCCCCAGACTGTGTTACACAATCACCCATCAAAAGCAAGAAGTATATTCTACAGTGAAAACAGCCCTTAAAGTTGTAGGAGAGTTGTAAGGATTTGAAAAGGTTAATACTGAGGAGTGCCTAATGCACCACCCACAATGATGATATTTCTGGATTTGTGGGCAGAGTAGTCTTAGATCTCGAATCAGTGTGACCTAACATCCAGATCATCCTCACAGTCTGTGCAATAGTGTCTTATAATATCAATGTAACCCACAATGAGTCACCAACAGCAGTAATCTACTTGTTGTTCAATACAAGACCTTCATTTGTTTAACTAGTATATAGTTTACCTCTGCCACACTAAACAGGCAGGCCCTGTAACTCCTTACACAAAGAGGGTGATGGCAGCAAACCTGCTACATAGAATCCCTACAGTGTGGAGACAGGCCATTCAGCCCATCGAGTCCACACCGCCCCTCCAAAAAGCATCCCACCCACACTTCTACAAGACTGCATTTTCCCATGGCTAATCCACCTCACCTGCATATCCCTGGACACTATGGGCAATTTCCCATGGCCAATCCATCCTAACCTGCACACCTTTGGACTGTGGGAGGAAACCAGAGCCCCCAGAGGAAATCCAAGCAGACAGGGGGAGAATGTGCAAACTCTACACAGATGGTCACCTGAGGCTGGATCCAAACCCGGGTCCCTGGCGCTGTGAGGTAGCAGTGCCAACCACTGTACGACTCGTGCTGCCGTACATGGTAAGGTGCTAGCTCAGTGGACTGTATATACAACACTGTCTCTAAGACAACCTACAGCCCAGCTCTTCAAGGTTAGTGGTAAAGAGGATTGAAGGAAGTCGGGTCAGGACCCTTCTTCAGAAAATTTTCGGACCCTTCTTAAGAATGGTCCCGACCCGAAACGTCAGCTTTCCTGCTCCTCTGATGCTGCCTGACCTACTGTGTTCCTCCAGCTCCACACTGTGTTATCTCTGACTCCAGCATCGGCAGTTCTTACTATCTCTTTGAAGGAAGTTGAAGCTGTTTGAAACAGTTAAGTTGCAACACGAAAGCTCGATGCTGTGAAGTAGTGAGCTACTGTTACAACATGATTATTTGATAGATCTGCTGTCACAGAGCAATGGTCACATTCAGTGCTGTTCCTCAATTTCAGTGCTGTTCCTCAATTCCATTGCAAGGTTCACCACAACACTGGTATAGGTTTTATATCACATGGTGAATATAGTGACCTGATCACTGCAAACAATGAAATGCAATTGGACAACACTAGTTTAATTGACCCACTCCGATTGGCTGATAATAGATAGCAGTGATCCCTATTGTGTTATCAAATCTTTGGGAGAAATTGTTTTTGGTGTTATGCTTTCCTTTAGGAGACACATTTTGTGTAGAATTGTCAGAGTAACAAAGATGCAAAAGAACTAATTAAAAAGGAAAACTAAAAAGTACTTGACCGATGCATGAGAGTGAGCACACTCTCAGTAGATTCTGAGCAGGCCTTTATTAATGTCACAGATCTTGTTGTACAGGGTACAATTTCAAAGCTTGTGGACAATACAAAACTTGTGAGCACTATAAACTGTGAGGACAGTGTAGAACTTTAAAAGGACATAGTGAACTAGGAAGAGCAGGCGAATAGGTGGCAGATGAAGGTCAATGCAGAGAAGTGTGAGGTGATAGATTTTGACGCACAGATTATGGAGGTAGAGTATGAAATTAAGGGCACAACCTTAAAGGAGCAGAGACATCCAGGTGTATAGAGGGGTCAGATTATTAAAGTTGGCAGGACAGGTCATAGAGTCATAGAGCACGGAAACAGACCCTTTGGTCCAACTTATCCATGCCAACCTCATTTCCCAAACTAAAATAGTCCCATTGCCTGCCTTTGGCCCATATCCCACAAAACCTTTAACAAAGTATAGAGTATCCTAGACTTTATTAATAGGGGTATGGAATACAAGACCAGAGAGGTGATGCTGAACTTGAATAAGATACTTGTTAAACCTCAAGTGGAGTATTGCATTCAAGTCCTGGGTGCTACATTACTGAAGGGTGTGAGTTCATTGGAGAGAGTGCAGAAGACGTTTACAAGAATGGTTCCAGGGATGAAACACATTAATGACAAGGATAGATCAGAGAATTTGGGACTGTTTTCCATGGAGAGGAGAAGGCTGAGGGAAGATTTGATTCAAGTTTTCAAAATCTTGTGCGTACAGACAGAGCAGACAGGCAGAAATTGTTCCCACTTGCTAAGTGGTCAATAATGAGACGGCATAGACTTGAAGTTTTTCCAAAATAAGTAGATGCAATGTAAGAAAAATCTTTATCACTCAGTGAATAATCAGGGTTTGGAATGCACCACCTGGTAATGTGCTGGAGGCTGGAGGCTGGTTCAATTGAGACAGTCAGGAGATCTTTGGATGGTTATTTGCATGGACTATTGGGCAGAGAAAGGGTGGGAGAGTGACAGTAGGTCATAATGCTTATTCAGAGAACTAGCGCAGACACAGTGGACTGAATGGACACCTTCTGCATCATAATGCAGTGACTTCAATAGACAGGAGAGTTACAGGCTAGGTTAGCACTAGCAGCAGAAAACACTGAGGTTCTTCAATGTTCAGGGGGTTCTATAGGAGCAGTGGGAGTGTGTGTACCTCTGAGCAAGAGGCTCTAGGTTCGAGTCCCTCACCAGGACTTGTTGGCCATGGAAGGTACATTCACAACATGGTCAAACGGGGACTTATTGGTCTTTAAGTCCTTCCACTCAGGCTGACGGCAAGTGGAGGGCGTCAGAGAGTCTCCTGGTCAGCCATCCTACAGACAGCAACAGTAAACTACAGCTGTACTTAGCCCATAAGCCTTAACCAAACCATGGCCCAACTTGGAAACGAGGCAGAGAGACAAGTCAGTGTTCGTGATGGACACTGCAAAGAGCTTCACTCTTAAAGGAGCTACTGATGTCCGTGAGAGGAAAGGTACCAAGTGAGGCAAGCATAGCGTCTCCTTGTTTCGGCCTGTGTGGATTTGTGTGCCCAGGGGTATGAACTGTTCCAGAGTTCAGCCAGGTCTGTGCCAGTCTCGGACCTTCCTCTAAAGAACAGGCGATTGTTTGAAATTTATGACCAGATCTGACTCTTGTTGTAAACGTGGTATCATCATGCTGACAGCTCATCTCGGGTCTTTGTTATTTGATACTCTGCATTCCAAGTGGAGACGAATACAGAGTGCAATTTGCATTATTCTGTTGCTGTGATTTGGCTGTCGCTATTCATATTCTACAATGGTAGCTTTAATGTGACTTTAATGTTTAATCATTAACCAGTATTGAATGACAGTGCCATAAATCCGAAACCTATTTGCTGAGTATTCTGGTGATGGAAGATTGGAGAATGCCAACATTGAGTGGTAGCCTTTGTGTTTTCGAGCAATTTCCTCTTTTAGACTCACTCCTACAAGTATCTCCTCCAGACTGTTTTATAAATAGGCAATTTTATTTTGCAAATAAGTAGGCTACGTTAATAGAGACGTGTTGGTCGGAAGAAAAGTGCTGAAAATCAGACCTCTTGGATTAGATTTTACTTTTCTATTGTAGAGCCCTTTATCCTTGTTTATAACCAGTGCTATGCTGGGCTCCCACAACTGAATAACAGCTCTGACTCAGGAGCTGAAAGATTCCAGAGTGAAACAAAACCATTCGTTTCAGCTCAATGATAGAACATGGTAGAAAATATCTGTCCGCAATCTTGCTTCCCATCCCTTTTCCATACCATCTCCCCCAACATCATCATATCCTACGGATGATTGAAAAATGATTCTCAATTACCTTTATCTCTGATGTGTAGTGACAGAATATTGGTGTCTCTGTTTTGGCCTCACAACTTCCATTTGTATGATGATATGGAGGGATCTGTGGAAAAGTCCCTAGGTTATAGACACACGCATTAGGTGATAGAACGAGTGCAGGCACAATGGGCCGAATGGCTTCCTCCTGTGATCATGGTGCACTCCAATGTACAGTTTTGTCTTAGTGATGGAATTTGACTCCTGCACCGATGACAACAACAACTAACACTTAAGTAGTGCCTTTCATAGAGTGAGGCTCACAGGAGGTGGCTCAGTGGTTAGTTCTACTGCCTCACAGCACCAGGGACCCAGGTTTGATTCCACCCTCGGGCGACTGTCTGTGTGGAGTTTGCACATTCCCCCTCCCGAGCCCGTGTCTATGCTGGTTTCCTCTGGGTGCTCTGATTTCCTCCCACAGTCCAAAGATGTGCAGGCTAGGTAAATTGGCCATGGGAAATTGCCCATAGTGTTCAGGGATGTGTGAGCTAGGTGGGTTAGTCATGGGAAATGCGGGGTTATAGGGAAGAGGGATGGGTCTGGGTGGGTTTCTCTTTGGAGGGGTCAGTGTGGATTCGATGGGCAGAATGGCCTGCTTCCACTGTAAGTGTATCAATGTGCCACATAAGTGGTGATGTAGGCAGGTGACCTAAAGCTCATGTAAGAAGTAGTTTTTAGGAAGCGAGGCGAGATAGCTGGATGGGTTTAGGAAGCAGTTCTAGAGTGTAGTGCCCAGGCACCTGAAAGTGCCATTCATAGGGTAGAGGAAAACAGTGATGTGCAAGAGGCTGGAATTAGATGAAGAAATTGATTACCTTAATCTTTTAGCATTGGTAAAAGCAGAGGGAGCTGTTTCATACGTGTGCTGAGAAACTTCAGGAGTACCTCTTCTTGGAATTGGCACTTGATATGTTCACACAGTTAATTCAGAAATGCCTCTTGCTGGGGAGGAACACTGATTGTGAGCAGGCTTTTCACAAATCATCTAAAAGTGGATGGCATGCTGTTGACCAGTTGGTGTGGACTTTCGCAAAGCTGCACCCATTCCAAAGATTGTCCTGTCATCTTCAAAGTCGGAATAAAGGATTAGAGAAAGCTGCAGTTTCCCAGCTACTTCAATGTTATTATTAAAGTATGTCACCCTGTTGACTCCAACTTCAAGATTGGGGTTTGTTTTGTTTATGAATGAAATCAAATATTGGCGCACTTTTCCAGAAAATAATATCTCGCTTGTTGAACTTTGCGATTCTGCCACATTCAACCTGTAGGCAGTACCTGCTGGTAACAGCAGAATTCAGAAACTTTCCCAAGAGTTAAGCAGCTGCCTTTTGAGGCTGGGGCCTGTATTCAAGTCTAGCTCAGCTGCTGGGAAGAAAACTTCTTCGAAGCAGCCTTCAGGACAAATGTGGGCTTGGGGTGGGGGGTGCGGGTGTTGGTGGGGGGTCAATAAAATGTGGAGCTGGAGGTGCACAGCAGGTCAGACAGCATCCAAGGAGCAGGAAAGTCAGCATTTCAGGTCAGGACTTTTCATCGGGACATTGGTTAAAAACTATTCTTTCATGGGAAATAGGCATCGCTGCCTGGACCAGCATTTCTTGCCCGTCCCTAGTTGCCCCTTGAGAAGGTGGTGGTGATCTGCCTTCTTGAACTGCTGCAGTCTGGAGGTTGACCCACAATGCCCTTCGGGAGGGAATTCCAGGATTTTGACCCAACGACAGTGCAGGCATGGCGATATATTTCCAAGTCAGGATGGTGAGTGGGCTGGAGGTGAATTTGTAGGTGGTAGCGTTCCAATGTATCTGCTGCCTTTGTCCATCATTGAAGGGGCAGAGATTGGATTGTGGGCTATCAGGCTGCACAATTAAAGCTCATTAAGGGCCTAGGCATTTTCTAATCAACCTGTTCAGAGATTTTGTGACACACTTCAGGAGCAAATGGTACTTGAATCTGGGCCTCCTGCCTCAGAGGTAGGGACACTACCATTGTGCCACCTTTCCATTAAAGGCCTAATGGAGCAAAATTAAAGGAAGCCAATTGGAATTTTCCAATCAGGCACCAGGTTCCCTCAGGACCTGTTTAGAGGTGGACACCTTGTAGCAGGGTAATGAGCTAGTGCTGTAGGCAGGCCTGAATGTTCTCTCTCCCTCCATTCCTCCATACTACAGGAGCAGTCAGAAACCTTCCTGTTGTGGCATCTATTTTTCAATAAAGGGTTGAGAAAGGCATCTCGACCTCTTTATTTATTCATTCACAGGATGAGGGCATCGCTGACCAAGCAGCATTTATTGTCCATCCCTAATTGAGGGTCAACCACATTGCTGTGGGTCTGAAGTCACATGTAGGCCAGACCAGGTAAGGATGGTAGTTTCCTTCCCTAAAGGGCATTAGTGAACCAGATGGATTTTTCCCAACAATGGATTCATGGTCATCATTAGATATTTTTAATTGAATTCAAATTTCACCATCTGCCATGGTGGGATTTGAACCCAGGTCCCCAGAACATTATCTGGGTCTGTGGATTAACAGTCCAGTGATAATACCACCAGGCCATTGTGTTCATCTTGGATTATGCATGTTCTCTCTCACTTATCTTCCATTGAAGGGTGTCTCTCCCTCTGGCCTTTCGAGATGCCACCTCCTAACCTTAATTATCTGCCCGTTAGCTGTTCACTTCTTGGTAAGTAACCCAGGGGAGGGAATAGTAAACAAAAAAACACAATAATCCTGGGAAATAAGTGTACTGCATTTTGAACTATTCAAGATGAGTCAGAGCAATGTGTGTCATTTGCCAGTTGTGCCTCATTGTTTGTTCTGGGACGTGACAGAAATGGTCCCATAGTTCCTGCTCCCAGAGGGAATATCCAACCTTAGTGTCTAAAATGTATTTGAAATGGAAATGTCCCTTCGATGGACTAGACTTGTTACCAATATTGATGGTGCTGGAACTTTACTGTTTCTTGACCATGTGCTGGACCAAGTGGGGAGGGCCGGGGATGGGGGAAGCCAGTTGCAGAGATCAAGCAAATGAGAGATGTTTCCTCCCTCACTTTCATCAGACATTTCACTCCTAAGAAGTAACCTTGGCCACTGCTGTGGGGGTGACAAATAGGCAATAGTATTGCTGAGGTCATGTCTTTGCACAAGCAAATTAACGTCAGGAGCCTTTGTGTTTTTTTTTTAATTTGTTCATGGGATGTGGGCATCTCTGGCTAGGCCAGCATTTATTGCCCACCCCTAATTGTGCAGAGGGCAGTTAAGAGTCAACCACATTGCTGTGGGCCTGGAGTCACGTGTAGGCCAGACCAGGTAAGGAAGGCAGTTTCCTTCCCTAAAGCAGAAGGCCTCTTATTAAATAGAACCTTAGGATTGTGACATACATTTGGCCTGTCCTTTCTTTGCTGGACCACTTAAGCAGCAGTTCACCTAATACCACTCTCCAACCTTCCTTCTACAACCCTTGTGGCCCCGCACCATCTTCCTTTACAGGTAACGATCCAATTCCATTGGGAAAGCCCCAGTGGAACCTGCCACTACCATGCTCTCAAGGTATAAATCCCAACCATTCACCATTAAGTTGGTGTCCTTCTGGTGCTCAATCCTTCCACCAGTAGGAACAGTTTCTTTCAATCTGCTCTGTCCAGGCCCTTCATAAAAACATTCTCCAACTTCTCAACCTGTTCTCTCTCTCTGCCATTGAAGGTCCAGAGCTGGGCCACTAAGATGCCAACTCTGCCAGGGAGTATCGGGATCCATGACTGAACATAGAGAGATTAATGGCTCAGCATTGAATCAGTAATGTTTCAACTACGAGCAGATCTCACTGGCAGAGATTCGGATGAGGTTCTATAATCCAGGGGATTTTTATAAACTGGAGTATTTGGTTCATAGGTGCACATCATTAGGAAGTGTTGCAAATGGCTGTTGTGTTGAGTTCCATAGGTAGCTAGCTCAAAAAATCCTCCCAATCCCACAAACTGTTCCTTTGCCGGGTAAGGGAACAGGGGACCAGCTTCAGGTTCACCCCACAAGCCGCACACCATCCTGAGTCAGAAAAATGTGGCAAGTTCCCTCATTGTCACTGGATCCAAATCTTGGTGAATGAACCTTCATGTGGATCACACCCATTCAAAGAAAC